TTCATGACCGGCCAGGAAAATTAATAAATAAATGCTATTCATATATTTTAATTTTTTAAAATAATTTTCTTATTTTAAAAATATACACTATTTTTTTATATATGTACTTATTTTAATTTAAACTAATAAAAAAATTTTTTAAGATTAATCAAAATAAATATCTTTTTTTTATAATTTTAATTCTAAATATAAATATATTTTTATGATTTTTTTTTTATTTATATAAATAAATTATATTTTTAGTAAATCAATTAAAATTTAAATATATATAAAGAAAAAAATATATTTATTATTTCATTTGATAGAACATAAGAAAAATATATTTATTTAAAATAGTTATGTATAAATATATTTATATTAGTATTATAATCCAATTAAAAATATTTTATTGGAAAATTTAAAAATTTATTTTTTAAAATAATGTAAACATATTGATACGGAATTTTCTTTTGTTTAATTAAATTTTTTTTTTTTTTAGTTTTAATTAATTTCGTATTTAAAATAAATAATAAATGTATATTATTTTAAAAATAATTTTTAATATGATTTTAAATTATATTATTTTAATTTTTATTCTTTTCAATAATTTTTTATTGAATATTTAACAATCTTTATATACAATTATTTGTTATATATTTAAAAGTTAAGCAATGAGCAATGTAATGTAAACAAAATACGAACATTATTTTATATATATATTAATTTCTATATATAAAATAAATTATTTCATATTTTAATTTTATATGTATTTTTTTTTTCAGTTTTAATTAATTTATTTATTGATTAAAATAATCTATATTTTTATGTATACAATCACTTTAAATTATTATATTTTCAAAAAAATAAAACAATTTTTTTACATATTATTAATATTTTTTATTATCATATTAATATTAAAATATCTTTTTTAAAATAGAGTAAAAAATACATAAATTAGAAATTATAATATAATTAATTAAATATATTAAAAAATATATATTAATTATAAAATATAAAATAACTTAAGTAAAATAAAAAATATTATTTAAAATTATATTATATATATATATATTTTTTCTTTTACATTTGAATATTAATATATTAGTTGATGTTATTTTTTTAAATTTAAAAAAAAGTATTATTATAAATATTAGCTTATTTAATCATTTAATAATGTTTGTATTTTATTTTTATATATATATTTAAATATAAGGAAAAAAAAACTAATAATAATTTTTTTCTTATATTTTTTTTAATAAAAATTAGGATTTATATTAAATTTTTTTTTATTTTAAATGCATTAAAATTATAAAAGAAAATAGAAAATAAAAAACAAGAAGATTATTTTATTTAAAATAAATATATTATTAAAATAAAAAAAGTTTAAAAATATAATATAATGAAAATTTATGTTTAATATAAAAATACTATTTAAAATAAAATTAATTATTTAAATGTTATTTATAAATTTTATTTATTAAATAGTTAGAATATAAAAAAATTATAATAAATAAAATTAAATTTTTTCTAATGTTTTCTTGATATTTAATTTTATTAATATTTTTAGTTTTTAAGTTAGTTATATATATATGATGTTAAAATTTTATTTAAAAAAAAAAAGAGTTTCTATAATAATTTTTATAAAATAAAAGTACAATATAAAAATAAAATAGTATAAATTATTAATTATCATTAATTTAAAAAATAATAAATTATTTAAAATAAAAAAAAATTATATTTAATTTTTTAATTATAAATATATATAAGTAAGACTGCTTTATTAATAAAATTACTTAAAATAATAAAAAATCAAATATATAATAATTAAATTAATAAAAATAAATTAAATAAAAAAATATTAGAAAAAAACATGTATCCTTGTTAATTGTTTAATGAAATGTGCTATAAAAACTATAATTATCCTTTATACTATACATTAGTTCCTGTTTATCAATAAGTTAATTACTATCCGTAGTATTAATACTAAGAAAAACAAAGTCTAATTATATAACCAGAGTAATATATCTAAAATTAAGTATTTTCTATAAAAAATTAGAGTGAAAAGTAAAATATATAAATATTTAGGATTTTTTTTAAAATAATATAGTACAATAAAATAAAAAGGTTAAGACGAAATAATACAAATAGAAAACTATTAAAAAGAAAAAAATATTAAGATCAAAGTGAATTCCATTTAAAATATATAAATAACGAAAAATAATGAATTTAATAGCTATTAATATAGTAATAATTAAAATCTTAATGAAACCAATAATAATTAAGAAATAAGTAATTAATAAATTTAAAAAACTATATTATAAGCTTAAAAATTAAAATAAAAATTATAATTAAAATATAAAAATCTCCCCAGTAATAAATATTAATATATTATTTATTAATAAAATTTATATAAATATAAAAAGAGTTAATAATTTTCTTTAAAAATATATAAACAAATAACAATATAAATCTAAATAAAAGAGAAAATATTGTTTATTATAATAAATTATTATAATAATTATTTAAAACAGATATTTAAACCATATAATTTATATATATTATATATATATTACTTTTTGTATAGCTTTTTTTTTTTTTAATTTTTCTATATAAAAACTCAATTAATTAATAAAAATGCAAAATAATTAATATTCTCAAAGCCTTTATATTTGATAATTATATTTTTTAAAAAAAATAAGATAAAATCAAAAAAAACAAAAAATATTGTCAATAATTAATATATATTTATTAATCTATATTTAATATTTATTTATTTTATTATTATATATTAGATAATAATTAAAATCCTATTAAAAAAACTACTATATAAGTATTAGAAGAAGCCTAATAGAAGATTAGAGAAAGTGTTTTTTATAAAAACTAAAACTTGGTTTTTACATATAAATTTAACGAATAATTTACTCTTAAAAAATCTGATTTAAAGAATGAAGAAATTATTTTCTCAAATATAAAATCTAATAGAGTTAATAATGTTTGTATGTTAAAAAAAAAAAACAAAAGTTAAAATAAAATTCCAAATTTCACAATCTAAACAAATTATTTATGTATAAACTACTAGCTGCATTTTCAATAAAAAACTTCAACTAATTATAAGTACCCTAATTTTTGCATTCTTTATTGTTAAGATTAATTATTCAAATCAAAAATTCAATAAAATAAATGAAAATATATAATAAAAAAACAGAGTTTTTCTCCCATGATCACTATAATGCATTATTTCTACACTTAAATGAATCTACTATATAATATTTAGCATAAAGTGAGTTCTCTGTATATTTACATAGGCTTTGCTTTAAATTAAACATAGATCTAAAAGATTAATCATATGATAATTTTTTAATCTAAAACTAATAGAAAATACAATATGTTAATATATTAAAAAGGTTCTGTTGTTAAATTGTATAAAATTCAAATATGTTAGGAGACAGTGAATAAAATAAATAAAAAAATTAAACATAATAATAATAAATTAGAAAGATATACACTTAAAGAGCATTAAAAGGAATTAATAATTTAAATTAAGGAATTTTAGTTAAAAGATTTTGAAATTCATATATAAATTTTATATTTTTCTTTTATTAATATTTTTTTATATATGAAGAAATATATTTATAATTTATTTTTATATTTTTTGTATTTTTAATAAAATTATATAATTTTAACTTATAAATTATTTTTTCTAATTTTAGTTTTATTCAATTTAATTATGATAATATAATTTAAATTTAAATCTGCAATATTTAATGAAAATTGAAAAAATATAAATTTCATACAAAAAATATTTTAAATGAACTTATAAAATTTATATATTTGTAAATAGATGAATAAATAAATTAAATAAAAAAATTTATAATTTATTAAAAATTATTTTCAAAATTAAAAATAGATTTGATGGAAAAAATAAAATAAAGTAAAAATGATATAAAAAATAGATAAAAAAGAATCATAAAGATAACAAAATATAATATAATAAAAATATATAAATAATAAAAAAATAAAAAAAATGTGTATGATAATATATATATTAATTTATTTATTTATATAAAATAATTTAAAATATATATATATATATATTTTTATATTTTATATATTTATATATTTATATATTTATTTATTTATATATTAATTTTTTATATATTATCTTTATTTTATTTTAATATATTATTTATTTAATTATATTTTTATATCTTAATAGTTTTATATCTTTTTTTATCATAATAATTATATATTAATTTAAATTAAAATTAAAATAATTTTATATAATAAAGTAAATATTTTATAATTTTTTTTTTTTTATATTTCTTTTTAATTTTTTTTATAAATAGTAATATAAATTTTATTATTTTAAATTTTTTAGTTTTCCTTTTCATATGTTTATTAAGTATTAAATAAAATCATATAAAAATTATCATATAAATTTATTTGTTATATAATTTTTTGTAGCATGCCATAAAGTAGCTCTCTCTTTAGCTTTATTAATTTTTGAAATATCATCTTAATTTGTTTTTAGAATTTTTAATATAGAAGTTTATAGCAGTTAAGCCTCATAATAATCATGTCCTTCTAAATAAGCAATATACTAAACAATAACATTTTTGAGATATTCACTATTAACTTATTATTGTTACGATTATTAGTTCTATTAATTTGTATCTTTTTTTAAATTACCTATATTAATATTATCTATCGAATTTGATTTAAATAAATTTATATTAAATAAATTTTCTTATTAGAATTCCTAACTTTCTTCGGTTTTTTTACTTCATTATTATTTTTTTTAAATATTCAATTTATTTTTTAATATCTCCATCAATTACTTCTGTTTATAAATTTTTTTCTTCTTTAAAAGATTCAATTTTATCATTTTCTTTAATATTTTTTTACATTAAGGAATTTTCCAATTATTTATTTTTTTCCAATAAAAACTCAATCTCATTTCTAAGTTTTAAATAGTCATTTAATTTTTAAGAATTCGCCATTTTTTTACTGAACAAGTTTTAATTCTATTTATTTTATTACATGTCCTTTAATAATTATTCAGCTTTAAAGCTTTCAAATTGCTCTTTTATTTTCTCTAAACTCAAAATAACTTCGTTTTTACTTTTTAATTCATTATTTAATTATTTTATTTCTTCAAATAAATCCCCATTTTATTAATATTATTATTTTTTTCCTTATTCCTATTCCCTTTTTCCCCATAATTAACATAGATAATTATAATCAATTTCACCAGGATTTATAGGCTAATTAAATATATATTATTTTTCATTAAAAATATGCTTTTGTAAAAATTAGATTATATTTTCTAAATCTTTTTTTAAAAGTTTTTATTCTTTGTAATTTTTTATGTATTTTGCTTCAAGCTTTGATAATTTGGTACTTGTAACTTTTATTTCTTTTATTTTTTCCTTTAATAATAGAATTAAACTTTCATTACTTATTTAATCATTTATAATAATTTCGTTTTCAGCCATTTTTTAAATTTATATTTTTTTTTTAAATTATATTAAAATTTTATAATGAAATATGTATATAAAATAATATTTAATATTAATATTTAATAATAAATATATAGATATTTATAAAGAAAAAGAATTATAAAATACATATAAATATGTATATATATATAATCATATATATATATATATAAAATATATATATATATATATATATAATATATAAATATTTATATATTATTTATTCATTCAATTTTTTTATAACATAAAAATAATTTATTTATTTTTTTTATATATACTATTACAGTTATTTTGTTTATTATTATAATTATATAATATTAAATAAAAATTTAATTCAAGTTATTTTTTTTTAATGGATATAAAATATAACTAATAATATTTTTTTGAATATTAAAAGTTAATACAATAAGGATATTTTAAAAAGATCATATAAATAATTTAAAAGCAAGATAAAAAATAGTCATAATTTTTATTAAATAATTAACAATTAATTTAATAATGTCGAATTTTTATTTTTTGTTCATTAAAAATTTTAAATAAATATTAATAAAAAAATAAATTTGGATAAAATGTTTCAACTATTAAAATTCTTAATTAATGTGTTCAAAAAATAAAAATATGGTATGAAATATTATCAAAAAATTAAGAAAGAAAATCATTAGTTTAATTTACTATTGAATAATAGGATTATATTAACAGAAATTATATTAAAGATAAAAATAATAATAAATAATAAGACAAATAATAAAGTTTTAAAAATTATTTTTAAAAGTAAATATATTTTAAATAAAATAAGTTGAGTTTCATATAAATGAATATTGGAAATAACTAATTTAATTATGTTATAAGCTATTTTAATTTTACAAAATGTATATAAATTAATAATAATATATATATATATATATATATATATATATATATATATATATATATATATATATATATATATAATACATATAAATAATTATTCTTTTTTTATAATATGATAATTTATATTTATTAAGCTAGGGATAACATGAGTTATCTTTAAAATACTTGTAAATTGCAAACAATATATTAATAAAATAAGAATATATGAATTCTATAGTATTATTAATTTTTTAAAAAATTAATAATTATTAAATAAGGATATTTCAACAATAGATATATGTTGTTCATTAAAATATGAAATAATTTTAGTTTATTTACAATCGGAACAGTTTAAAAATAAAAATATTTTATATAATAAATTTAATTTTTTTTTTTTAATAAAATAAAGATTTGATAGCTGCTTAGATGAAATAGTAGTAATATGCATATTATTATAAAAATTAGTTAGTTTTTATTATTTTGACAATTATAATTCAAAATTATAAGATTAAAATTTTAAAATTAACCGAAAACATAAACGAAAATATGAATTATATATAAAGAAATTGATATTAGTATTAATATATGGGCATATAATATACGAATATAAAGAAAATCTTGAAAAACATACTGAAACAGTAAAGCTGGCAAGCTGGATAGTGAGAAAATATTTAAATCAAAATATGGAAATGAAGATAATAACAAATACTTATGAAAAACAATATTTTGAAAAATACTCTTAATATCAAGAATAAACGGGGGAAATAAATAAAATAATAAAAAACGCATTTTAAATTAAAACAAATTATTTGAGTGAATAAAAAAATTAGAAAAATAGAAATTTAAATTAAGAAATAAATAATGTTTTTAATCAATTTTTATACAATAAATATAGAATTAAAGAATTAAATAATAGCTAATTTATTATAAAATATAATTCTTTAGATAATAAAAATAATAATACTATAGAATAGTCTAAATTTTCAACTAAAAATAAAGAAAACATTCTCAGTACTTTCCAAAATGAAGAAGAAAGTACTACTATTTAAACTTTGTCTAAAAATATAAATAATAATGAAAGAATTTTTTTTTCGAAATAAATTTCAGTATAATAAGATAATACAATGAACAATTCTATTTCTTAAAAAAAATAGAAAATAAATAAAAATAAATATTACGAAAATTTTTTATTTAATTACCCAAATAAAGATTATAAAACTTTAATATTTAAAATTTAATAAGAAAAAAATAATAATTTCAAAAAAGTAAAAAATATAAATTATATATATATATATATATAAATATTTATATATATATATATATATAGTAATATACTAACATTTCATCAAAATATTTTAAAAATAATAACTAAACATATGAAAATATACAATAAATATATTAACTAAATAATAATTCTATATAAAATTTAGATTATTTCACCCAATAATTAATATGTAAAAAAATGCTAGAAGTAAAATAATTTAACTCTTTAAAATAAATAAACTAAGACTTCATTGAAATTTCAAATTAAATTTCAATATAAAAAAAAGAACAAGATTTTTAAATAAACTCTATACAATTAAAAGTAAATTAAAAATATAAAAATAAAATAAAAATATATTAATAAGAAAATCTATGGAAATCTAAGTTAAGAAAAAAATAAAAAAATAAATAATAAACTAGATAATATTTTAAATATTAATTAATCACAAATAGAGGTAAAATAGGATACTCTTTTATTTAATAATCATTATAGAACATTATCTTAGATAGAAGAAAGAAAAGAAAACTAAAAATAATAATAAAAGCAAATCATATAATTATTAAACTCTAGAAAAAAAAAAAAACGAGAAAATTTAAAGGAATTAATATTAAAACATGATGATAAATTCTAGGTTAAAAAATTAAAAGAATATATTGAATAATATAATAATTAAAATTAACATAAAGAAGAATAATAAATATATTAATTTAAGAAATATGATATATTTATAAAATAATTAATAGAAGAAAAATAAAAATAAATTAATACAACAGTCCAAGACCTGAAAATTTAAGCAAAAAAAGAATGCGAAAGTAGTTTTCTTAATAAATTATTCTAAGATATTAAACATTAAATACCTTCGAATTAGGTATCAATAAAAGAAGATAAGTAAACACAATATATCAAGTATTTATATTATTTAAAATATATATATATATATATTAATATATATATATATATATATATATATATATATATATATAAGATAAAAAGCTTAAAATTTTAATGAAAAAATTATGTTTAAATTTGGAAATTTAGCAAAAAGTGCAAGTTCATAATCATGTAATTAAAGTTAAAAATAAGATAAATCAATATATGATAATGCAATAAAAAATATTTATGTAAGTGTTAATAAAAAAAAATAAGATAATGAAAATCAAATCAAATAAATAGAAAACGAAATAAGTAATAAATAATAATAATAATAATAAAATTAATAATAATTATAATAATAATAATAATAATAAAAATAAAAATAAAAATAATAATTATTAATATAATGATTTTAATAATTTTTTCTAAAAAATAATTTATAAATATTAAATATAATATTAATAAAATAGATATAAATAAATAAATTTTTATATATTTATTTTAATATATTTAATATATAAAATTATTTTATATAAATATTTGAAATCTTTCAAATATTTTTTTTCCTATTATTATTATAAAATTCTTAATTTTTATTATTTCTATAATATTTATTATTTTCAAACATATTTTTTATTTATTCTCTACTCATTTCTTTATTATTATTATATTTTTTATATTAATTTAATTTCTTATTTTCTCCTATTAATTTCTCTCTTCTTTCCGGATCAATAGGTTCTTCATCATTAAAAAAACTTTTTTTATAATTTTTATTATCTTATTATATTGTATATATTTCATTATTATAATAAATAGGTTCATTTTCTTCATAATCATCATCTACTTCCTCCTCGTATTCATATTAATTTAATTTTTTAAGTATTTAATTTTAATCTTATAATAGAATTTTTTTCGCCTATTCTTCTAATAAAGCATCATTTATTTCATCGGCTTGATCATAAACTAAATATGTATTATTAATTATCTCATCTTTTATTTTTTATATTTAATTATCTTTTTCAAGCTTATCTAAAGGATTTAAAGTATCTCCAAATTTTTTCAAATGAGATGTTTTTTTATAATCATCCTTTAAATTTGATGTATTTATTTATGTTATTATTTCATTTGTTTTATCAGACAATAAATTCTAATCTAATTAATCTTCGATTTAATTATTTTCTAATTCACAATCTATTTTATATTTATTTACATTATTAGATAAACTATCCTTATGATTTATATGATTTCCTTAATAACCTTTATTTTCTTAATTTACATTATTACAATCATTTTCATTAATTTCATAATTTTAATTATTATTATTATTATTATTATTATTATTATTATTATTATTATTATTATTATTATTATTATTATTATTACCACTTTCGTTATTATTATCTCCACCGTTATTATTGCTTCCTCCTTTTTTATTATTTGTTTCTTTTTCTTAATTATATTTTTCTTCCTTAATTTATTTTATTAATTCATTAGGTTTTATTTTCCCATTAACTAATTATTAGACATCTGCAATGGTTATTTCTATAAACCTCTTAGTTCCTTTATCAAATATAATTGCTTTTTTTCCAATATCTCCATCAAATCTATTCTTTTTGATATCAATAACTCTATAATGTTCTCTATTTTACATAATAATTACTTAATCGGCTTCCTAAGTAGCTTTTGCGCTTCCAAATACTGACGATATATTCAAATCTTCTCTATCATCAACTTTTTTAGGATGAATAACTAAAGTTAAATGAATGTTTTTTTCAGTAGCTAATTTCCTAAAATTTTCTATAGCCTTATCTTATAAATCAAATTTATCAAATCCTTTCCCTTAAGTACCTAAAAGGAACTATAAATTATCAATAATCACATGTTATATATTATAAGCATAGATCGAATATTCAATTGTTTCTAAAATATTATTAATATTTGTGGAACCAAAAAAAGACATAAAATACATAGGAATGTTCTAAAATTACTCAGACCAATAAATAAATTTTTCGGGACTTTTGAACAAATTTTCATTACTATATTATAAAACCATATTAGTTGCTAAAATCTCATTTTTTATTTCAAAAGATCCCCATAAAGTTGGAACTTACTAAAAAATTTATAAATAAAGAAAAAAAAAAATATATATATATATATATATAAAAATATATATATATATATAAATATATATATATATTTAATTATGCATATTAATTTGTATACTTTAGAACAAAAATCTAACGATAATTATGATAAAAATGTAGTTTTTCCGGAACCTGTTGGCCCTGTAAGTACAGTCATTTCCCCTTTTCTTAATCCTTTTATTTTTTCGTTATAGAATTAAAAAGATGAACATTTTACTCCTTAATTTAAATCAAATTTAAATATTCTGTTATATACTTATTCTTTAATATCTTCGAATTTAAGGATATTTTTATCATGAATCGTTCTTGCTTCCTTTATATATTATATCATTTTATGTGGGTTTTTTCTCAATACATCATTAGCGTCCTTTTCTCCATTTTTAGTTAAGACAATAAAAGATCTATTTAAACCTAATTTCTCTGCTATTTTAGGGTAATTATTTTACCCAGCCTAATCATTATCCATCCAAAGGTAAATTTTTTCGAATTGTTCCAAGCAATTTATAACCTAACAAGGTAAATTACATGCCCCATTAGGTAACGAAATACTAGGAATGCCTGTTTCTTAAAAAACTGCCATAGCATCATATTCTCCCTCTGTTATAACTATTTCTTTGGCATTAATAGGTACAGTGTTTAATCCAAAAAGCCCACTATAAATAAAAATATATACATAAATACAAAAATATATAAATATATATATATATAATTATATATAATATTTATAAATATTTTTTTATTTTTATATATAAATAAATATTATATTTTTTATACCTTGATTATCCAGAAGGTTTCATTCTCATAAATTATTTATTTTCCTTACCTACTCCTCTTATTTTACATTTAACTAATTTATATATACTAGTACTAATTTATTTATCATTATTATTTTCATCCTAAAAGACATTTTTTATATTTCTATTTATTTTTTTAAACATCGGAAAGTAAATGCAGCATATATTCTAATTTTCTCCGTTTTTATTTATAAAATTTTCCATTCCAATTCCTACTTTATATTTTTATAAAACTTCCAATTTTAAATGTCTTTGTTCTTTATTTTATTTACCCGTTAAATATTCAATTTCATTTTTAAATTCTTCATTATTTAATAATTACTATATATATATGTGAAATTCACTATCGTCTAATTGACTCTCCATTTAATTTTAAAACTCATTTTAATATTTTAAATAGTCATTTAAAATTATATTTTTTGACAATAGATTCTTAAAATCATACCATGAACCTTTTATTGAACATCTAAAGCAATTAAATGAACCATTTTATTTCTTTATGTTCAATCTATAGGCATTTGTGGGATCATCATTATGCTGTTTTGGACAAAAAGGGCACCATTAGACTCTTATAAATTCCCCGTTTGTTGAATTAATGAATTTAAAGTTATGTTTTTCCAATTAATATTATATATCCTCTTCTTTTAATTAATAGTATTAACTCACTTAAGTTCTTTTCTGGAAAAAATCATTATCATATGTATTTGAAGAATTATAATTTTAATAATTTTTTAATTTGGATTATCTTAATTATTGTTATTATCCGTTGTAAAGTATTTTTTTATTAAATTTTTAAAATTATATTTGGAAATATTTATGGTTTTAAATATTTTGTATTTTTTATGAATTTTAATTATGATTTAGTTATTAATTTTATGTAATTTATCATTTTTTAGTTTTTATATTATTGGAAATTTAATTTTAATCTTTTTTATTTTAATTTTTAGTAAATTTTAAAATTAAACTATCTTATTATTTTTTGAAAAATTTATTTTTATTATAAATATTATATTTAAAAAAATAATGTTTTTATTTATAAATAAATAAAACAAAAAAATTATATAATTATAAATAAAATAAACAAATAGAAATATTTTGCAGAAGACTGATAAAATAAATATAATATAATAAAAATATATATATATATATATTAATATTAATATAAATATTAATTTAAAATAGAAATATATATATAAAAAAATATTATAAATATAAACACATTTTCTTAATTTATTTTTTGTCAAAAAATAAAAAGTAAAAATATAAAAATAAATATGGATACTGAATAAATAATAATTTCATGTGCAAAAATAAACGATAAACATAAATAAGAATTGTAAAAATATAAACTTAAAAAAAATTAAAAACATAAATTTATACATTTATAATTATTTTAAAAAAAGTCCAGATTTAGAATAAGCATTTTCATTTTCTAATTTTTAAAAATATATTTTAAATTCATTAGATAATATAGACGAATTATTAGATATTCTAAAAAATATTTAATTGGAAAATCTCTAAATAAGATTTAATGTTTGGAGGATTCTTTTAGGGATATTTTAATCAGAATAATCATAAGATGAAAAACTTGACTAATTAAAAAAACATAGATAGGAATATAAATAATTATGGGAATCATATAATAAGCAAATATTAAAATAAGAAAATAAGCCTAAACAAGTATTTAATCCATTAGCAAAAAACATATAAAATGTAAAAATAAAAAAAAATTATATAATATAATTTTTTTTTTTTAAAAAAAAAAGACAGTAAGACCTGGATATTTTGAGGATAATGAATTAAAAAGTGAAATAAAAAAAGATGTCGATAGGACTTATTAAGATAAACCATTTTTTAATAATTTAAATATAAAACAAATTATGTCGAATATCCTTTTTGTTTATAGTAAAAAAAATAATGATGTTTCTTATAGATAAGGTTTATATATAATATAAAATAATAATGAAACAAATAATTTATGTATAAATTTATAATAAAAGGTATGAATGAATTAATAGCAAGTTTTCTAGTAATTTATTTTTCTGAAAGTTTATATATAAAAAATAACTAATATGAAGATAGTAAAATATATGAAATTGCATAAAGTTTTATTAATCCGGATTTCGCAGAGGCAGACGTTTATCAAATATTCAACAAAATGATGGAAGCAGGTCATTTAGAAATGTTTAGGCCTTATTTATGTGAAAATGCAAAAAAAAAATCAGATTATAATATAAGTTCTAAAAAATAATAAGCAATTTTAATAAGAATAGGAAAAATATAAAATCATTATTTGAAAATTATAGATATAGAATTATTTAAACATATAAAATTATTAAATGTAGAAATGTAAATTTTTCTTTTAAGATGGATAAGATGTGTACATACTAGAGAATATCATTTAAGTGACTCGTTTTTAATATGGGATAGTATTTTTTTTGAATATTTTTAAAATAAAAGTATTGAAAATAATTTTTTTTTAATTGATTGTATATGTTTAGCTATGATTTAATTTGTTAGATAATAAAGTATTAAAAAAATATATTTATATATAAATACATATATAAAATATAAAAAATAAAATATAAAAAATAAAATATAAAATGTAAAATATAACATATAAAATAAAAATATAAAATATAAAATATATATATATATATATATATATATATATATATATATATAGTTTTGGAAAAAGAAGAATCTTCGGATTGTTTATAAAGATTTTTAAAATTTCCACCAGTCGAAAATATTAAATCTATCATTGAATAATCTTTTTAAATTAAGGGTAATTATTTAGTTAATAAATTTTTCTTTTTAATTATAATTATTAATACATATATATAATTATATATATATATATATATATGCATATATAATTTTTTAAAAAATATTAAAGAAAATATTTTAAATGATTAAAATAATAATTAGCAAATAATGAAATAATAAACATTTTATAAGAATTTGAATTTATTTAGCAATAATGATAATAATGTTTAATAATAATAATAAGCAGATATTTTATAACAAACATATAAAGAAAATATGTTACAAACTTAAAATTAATAAAACTAATTTATGTAAAGCAATTAACAATAATATTAAAACAACTCTAATAAGGATAACACATAGCATAAAAATTATTAATTTATTTTAGAATAAAATGAATATTAAAATATTGTAAATAAATTAAATACTTCTTTATAAATTCTAAATGAAATATCTAATAAGTAAAAATTATCTATAATTAATGTTTTATAAAAATAAAAACTAGTACTGAAACTTCTGAAAAAGTAAACTAAGTATTAGAAGAAATAAAAGGTGTTTAAAAAATTTTAAAAACACAATAAGAAGAAAAAGTAGAATAGTAATCAGAAAACAAAGCAAAAATTAATTAAACAAATAATACATATATTTGATAATATTATTTTAGAAAAGAATTCTAATAAATCCTTATTTATAATCCATATAAATTATATATTTATAAAAATTAATTTTCTAAAATAAATATATTATAAATACCCAAACAAAATATACATAAAATTCAAACAAAACAACATAAATCAAAACTAAAAAATAAACAAAACAAAAAAACTAACATACTCAACAATCATCATCTACCAAATAAACTAAATGTTAGAACTAATTTCTTAAAACACTCTTCGGTAACGCAAAAGTGGGATCAATTTAATCTAACTAATATTTTTCCCCATCAAGTAAGCTTAAAGCCGCAATTCCAAAAAACGAATGAAAAACATCAACACAATTATCCGGTCTATCCGCAATTCCTCCTTTTTCATCTTAACAATCTATTATAAATTACTCTAAATTCCCACAATCAATCCATTACTATCTTTTAATCATTTTAAAAGCCGAAAAAATCCACCAACTATAACATACATCTGCTAATTTTTCCGGTCTACCATTAAATCCTCCTTTGCTAGTCTATCTTTCACTAAGCCAATACCCCAAAGCATCTTTATCGATACTATTTAAAAAACCTCCAATTTTCAAAGCACCTACTCCTGTGAAAACATACGCCCCATGACTTTCTGCATCTGGCTATCCGCCGAAACTTCCGTCAAAATTTCTACATAAAAGTACAAACTCGCATGCCTTTTTAACATTAACCTCCTCCAGTCTATTTAATAAAGCCAAACAGCTCAAACCGCAATAAGAAAAACGAGTATCCACTTCTCCCCATTTATCTCCCATAAAACTACCGTCTTCTTTTTGTAAAGTTTTTATATATTAAACTACTTTTTCGGCATCAATTTCCTATAAGGCTTTTAATAAAATCAAAACTAAAACTGCATAATGTGTAGATGTCAAATGTGAATCATGTAGAATGTTTCCGCCAAATCCACCATCTTCATTTTGACAAGATTTCACCCAAGAAATTAATTATAATCGCTTTTCTTCAGGAAGTTCGACTTTTAAACATTTTAAAGCATTAATACTCCAATAAGCGCCCCCTAAACGAAGGTGTTCGCTTAAATAATAACCTATCGACTCTAAGTCTTTGGAATTTTCAAGGGATAATAAATATTAAATATGTGCTTCGCGATAAAATGGTTTATTGTTTATTGGTTATTATTTATGGTCCATTTTTTTATTTTATTTTTTTTTTAAAAAAATTAATTTAAAATTGATAACTTTTATTTCTATATAAAAATAATGTATTTTGTATATCTTTTATTTTTTATTTATTTATTTAAAAGTAAAAAAAAAAATATTAAATACTTTTAAATTTTTATATTTTCTTTATTTATATTATATATTAAATTTCTTATATAAATAAATTTATTTATTCACTATATTGTGTACAATAAGTATTAAAAAATTATAATAAATAATATATAAATATATCATGCCGATTAATTTTATTTATCGTTTATTTTTTCTTTAGTTATATCATTTTAATTTTTTTTAATAGGAGAATAAAAAATTCTACGATGATTAATATCTCTTAGATTAGTTCCCGCAGTATATTTAATATACCCAATTTAATTAGGGACATATATCCCTCCGTAATCTTTATTTATTTATAATCTAATATCTCCTTATTATTTTTAAAGTCTTCTATATAAATAAAAAATAATATTTTTTTATTTAAAAAACAAAAAGTACTTATTTCTTTAAATATAGACCATATTAACACCATATAGAAATTATTATTTGTTACTATTATTATCATTATTTTATAAGGATTCCTATTCTTAAACAATATTTGAACTAGTGTTATTAGCAATTTCTTATTTAATATTATTTTATGTGCTAGTTTCTAAATTTTTAATTTATTTATAAGAACTAATTTCTTTCTCACTTTCTTTCCCTGAATTTTAATTAGCAAAATTAATTTAAGGTAAAAACATATTTTAACTTGACTAATTATTTGATTTCTATTTTTGTTCCTATTCTAATTATTATTATGAATCGTTTTATTCTTCAGTATACATAACTATTTTTTTTATACGTTCAATGTGTTAATTTATAACATCTTAATGATTATAAATAGTATTATTATTAATAATATAAGAATTTTCTTCTAGTGATTCTTAAGAACTATTATTATTAGAAGATTTTTTTTTAAAAAAATTTTTTGTTCTTTTTAAAATATTATCAGCTTTCGTATTTTCTTATACATTAAATTTTAATAAACGAGAAAGAGAATTTTTATCTATTTAAGAATTTGGATTTTAATATTTAAGCGAAAAATTGTTAGTGTTTTCTCTCATATTAAATTTCGTATTTTCTCTCATATTAAATTTCGTATTTTCTCTTAAATATAATTTTGTGCTTTCTTTAATAATACCAAATTTATTATTTTCTCTTAAATTATTACGAAATCCAAATGCTTAATGCATCTTTATTTTCAATTAAGAAGTGACATCTTTGATACAATTAAAATTATATGTGTTTTCCCTTATATTATTCATATATTAAACACGCGTTATATCTTTTTTAATGCTAACTTTTTATTTACATATTTTAATTTTATTTATTAAACATAAATATACTAAAAATTTACTATTTTTGGAATTTTTAATATTAGATATTTTTTTAAAAAACATAGTCTAATAATAAGTATAAGTATAAGTATATATTATATATATATATATATATATATATATATATATATATAAATAAAAAACCTAACACATCCATGGATGATTTTAAATTTATCCCGCAGTTATTCTTAAATCTGGTTTTATCTAAAAAATTTTCTCAAATAAATCTTTTATTTCATTACTTAATTAATTTTCTAAATCTTATGGAAAAATATAATTTTTTTAACAAATTTAATTAGTTATTTCTTGACTATTATTACCATTAAATGGTAAATATCCGCATAAAAGACCATATAAAATGACACCTAAACTCCAAATATCAATACTAGGTTATATATGTTTAATTTTATTTTACAGAACTTCTGGAGACATATATCTTAAAGATCCTATATTTATTTTTTAATGATTAGTATTTCCCATTCCCGAAATTCCAAAATCAATAATTTTAATACATTTATCATCGATAGATTTCAGTAGAATATTTTCTAATTTTAAATCTCTATGTACTAAATTTTCTGAATGACAATATCTGATTCCTTCTACTATTTAAGAAAAAAATTCCCTTGCTTCAATTTCACATAATCTTCCTTTTTTTTATACATATTCTAATAATTCGCCACCAGAAAGATGTTCCATTATATATACTACTTACATTGTTTTCAAAGTATAACAATTATATATTGTTACAATATTTTTATGCTTTAAACTTTTTAATAACTTTAAAATAATATATAAATAAAATATATAAATAAAAAAATTATGTATTATATATATATATATATATATATAGATTTATATATATATATTTTATTATTTAAACTTCAGCTTCTCTAAAAACCATATCAATATCGGAAGCGTTACTAATTAAATTTGTATCTACTATTTTTATTGCTACTTTTTGTTTTGTAAATCTATGTTCTCCTAAAATAACTTTTCCGAATCCTCCTTATCCTAATACTTTTAATTTCTTATATTCAGAAAAACTTTTTGAAGAGTTATACTCTTGTCCATCACTAGCTAATAACATTATACCATCTTATAAAAATTATAGGTCCTATTCATATATTTCTATTCCTTCATTTGTGTATAATCTAAGAAACTTTTTTATATAAAAATTTAATCCTCTTCTTAGCTTTTCTTAAATATCTAGAAATTTAGAACCTTTTTTTAATAATATTTTGCAGTGTTTATTTTCGCTTATTTCAGTATCGTCATTTAAAAATATTCGAATTATCTTGTCTTTTTCTTGTTTTAGTTCTTTTTGAATATATATCATAATTATTTCTACATTTAATTTATATTTAATTATAATATATATATATAAATATATATATATATATATATATATATATACTTATGTTTTTATAATTTATTTTTTATTTTTCTGTTATTATGTTTATTTTTTTTCATACTTTTATAATTTATATACATATTAATTTATAAAATAATATAAAAAATTACATTTTTAAATAATATACAATAAATTTTATTATATAAAATAAATAATTATCAATACAATTTTATTAAAAAATTTTATGAAATAATCTAATAATAAATTTATAAATTTTTATATTTAATACATTAATTTGAAAATTCTTATGTAGTATTGTATATTTATTAATAATTAATAATATAAAAAACATATTTATTTTATATTTAAAAATAAATAAAAAAATATAAACCTTTTAATTTCCTCCTTAAAAAAAATTAAATTAAAATTCTATTTCATATCCAAATTTCATTAAAGATTACTATAAAAAAATAGACATTATTTACATTTGTTTTTTTTCGTTTAATCCAATTTCAATTGATCTATATATTTTCTCATCTTAAATTTTTACTTTTTGCATAATTTTTTGTCCATTCTTAAGTTGTTTTAATTAATAATTCTTTATATTATCCTGCATAAACAGCATCTTAAGAATCATCTATTTTTATTGAAAAAAAAAAAGCAGAAAAAAATATTCTAATATAAAAATATTTGGTTCAGGGGCACACATTAATGCTTATAAAGATAAAAGTGCAGTTCTAATAGATAAAGCTAGAGACCAATAATTTTTTAAAATATCTAAGCAAATTGCTCCTATCTATGAAGAGATGTTAAAATTTTATATTCTTGTATCAAATTTCAACTTTTTTTTATATAATATAAATATTTTAAAAACAATTATATTATTTTGTATTTTACATTTAGAGGATTATAAAAATAATTATTATTTATTTAAATATCTATTCAAAATATTTCTCCTTAGTATTATTGTATATCGGTTTTTTTATTACTTTATTTATAATTTTATTATTGCCTTTAAAATATTTATATTTAGAAGTCCTTTGCATACCCTTTCCAATTTTATTTATCGTTTCTAACTAATTGTATTCTAATATTACTAGTTTCTGACTTAAATACTATGAATTTTTTATTAAAAATATTAAAGATTATAAAATTATATATTTATTTTTATAATAATATGAAAATTTATATATTTTTTTATGTTCTTTTTTTTTTATTATTATTACTGTTTTGTGGAAATCAGAGATTTCTTTTTAAATTCTTTCATTATTATTTCCTAGATATATTTTTAAGTTACCTTATATATGTTTTATTAATATTAATTAATTTCTTTTATTTTTTTATATAAATTAATTATTTTAATATTTTTATTATTTATTTCATATATATAATTTTCAATATATTTAGTATAATTAAAATAAAACTAAGTAATTGAATTTTTTTAGTTTCGAAAAAAAAAAAAAAAAAAAAATATCTAAATAATAAAAAAATAAACAAGAATAGAAAAAAGAAAATAATAATAATAATATTATTTAATAATTAATATCAATTAAAAATATTTTTCCTATATATATTTAACAAATTCTTTTTTTTTTATTATTTTTAATTATCAAAAATATTTTATTTATTTAAAAATTTATTAAAGCTTTGTAATTTTAGTAAAATTAAAAATAAATAATGCAATATATATTTTTATAAAAAATTTCCACGACATTTATGTTTTTATTGTTTATATTTATTTATTTTCTTGAATTTAAAAAATTCAAATATTTAGAATAATTAGAATAATCTTTATAATAAAACAATTAATACAAAGAATAATTGAGATAGATAATGACATAAAACTTAAAGAACACTGAACTTGTTATAGATTTGTAAAATAAATATAAAGAATATGAATAATTATTAAGAAAATGTGAATAGTAACAAAATGAATAATAAAATAATATTTAAAATTTTATTTATTTTAATACGGATGGTTATAATTTTGAATAAATAAACTCCTTAAAAAATATAGCTCCAATCAAAACATGTATTTTAATATTTTTTTAGAAATGTTAAATAAAAAAATAAAAGAGACAAAAATTATAGAAGATTTATAACTTACTTCACCAACATATGAAATTAAAAGTTTTTTTAAAATCTTAACTTTTTTAGATCAAAAGAATTTAAAAACCATGATTTTGTTGTTAATAATACAAACATGTATTATGTAATTATTATATTTTTTTAAAAAAAAAAAATATAAGGAAAAAAGATTATTATTTCACATAAGGTTATTCTGGATAATATACTTTTGCATTTAATGTTTCTGTAAATTTAAAGGCAATTGCGATTTTGATTCTAGAAAATGATCTAAGAAATTGTATTATAAAAAATTTTTAAATAAACGGGTTAATATCAATAAATCATTTATAATTTTATGCTTAGAAATACCATACTTTAAAATTAACAAAACGTCTAAATTTACAATAAAATTTTAATTATGAAAAAAAATAAGATGGGATTATAACATATTACTTTTAGATTATGTAAAATTAATATATTTAATAAAAATAATATATTTTTTATATAAATAGAAATCATATTAATATTTATTTTAACGCTGTTCAAATTAAATATGAAAGTTAACCAGATTAAAATTATGTATGTTTATATAAATTTAAAATTTTGGTTTGATTTTAAAGTTAATTAGTTTTTATATATAATATAATAATATAATATTTAATTTTTATTTAGAATATTAAATAATAAAATAATTATATAAACAAATAATATGATACTAAAAAAAAAAAATATTAATATAAAAAATACAATTATTAATTTATTAATAAATAAAATAATTATTTTTTAAATATAATATACTATAAAACTAAAAATTATTAATATTATATATAGAATAGATAATATAAATAATATTATAAAATAATAAGTATTCAAAAAATATTTTTATTTTTCTTTTAAAAAATGTATAATAAAAATTATTTTAAATTTTATATAAAATAATATTATAAAATTAGTGTTTAATTTTAAATATATATTTATTTAGTTTTATTTATAAATGAATATAAAAAATGTAAAAAAAAAAAATATAAAAAAAAATATAAAAAAATAAATTTATATATATATATATATATATATATATATAATTATATATAAATATATATATATATAATTTTTATATATTTATAAATTTTAATCACTTTAATTAATTTGAAAATCTTTAACAATTAAAAGCAATTTTTATTTAATCTATTTTGTAATCATTTTACAATATATTTTTATATATTTTTTTTTTTATTATATATATTTAATTATTTTTTATTTAAAATTAATAATAGAAATATTTAATATTGTAATACATATATTATTTAATATATATTTCTATTTCTTGTTTAATTTATCAATTTACTCCCCAAAATCTTTTAAAAAGTGCCAGATAAGTTGGTTTAATCGCATTTTCCTTTTTTTTTAATTTATTTAATATTATATATTTTTTCAAAAATATTATCAATATTACTTCCATTTAATAAAAATAATTAATAATTCCCATAGCAAATGCAAAAACAAGTAATTCTCCTCCTGGGATAGGTCTTACTATGTTTCTTCTTTTTAAATAATTCCATAAAGTTTCGAAAAATCTAGGCATAATAAATAATGCAATTTCAGAACGTCTTCCTTCAGGTTCCAAAGTGACTGAAAATCCAGCTATAAACGCTGCTATAGCAGGATTCCATCCTTGAAAAACATGTATTAATAAATAAATATATTATATTAAAAGATTTTATACCATCAATTTTTCTTCTAAAGTTTTTTGATTTACAAAGCATATATTTTAAAATAGCTACATAACTTCCCATAAAACAAAGAGATATTAAATAATTATATAATGTTTAAGATATAGTTTTTATTGGTCTAGTTTTATTTTAAATAATTAAAAAAAAATGCATTTATTTCATTAAAAAATTAATACTCTTTCATTAGTTTTTTACGTTTAAAAATTAATAAAGGAATTAAATGTATTGGAATATAATATTTATATGAATTTTTTACTACGGTACAAAATCTTATTAATGCTTCTTATAGGCATGTACCGTCATGAAAATCTTTACAATCTAAAAAACCACCTATTTTTTAAAAAAATTTATTTGAATAATGCTATGTATTGAAAAATTTATATATTAACCATTTATGATTTATTATTGTAGTTCTTCTGAAATAATTTTTACCCTATATTACATATATAAAATATATTATATTTAGTTAATTTTATTTTTTAATTAATACATTTTATTGTTTTACTTTATAATTTTGTTTTGTTTAATTATCTTATTTTTTTAACTCTAAATAAATGAAAAAAATAAATATATTATTTATTTTTAAATATTAAAAAAAAATATATTTATCCTAATAAATGTAAATATCTAATATAAAAATGGATATAAGGAAATAAGTATAAAAATAATAAAAAGAAAATTAAAAGAAAAAATAAATAATAAAAAATTTAAAATATATTAATTTTAATTATATATTATTTTAAATGAATTTAAGATTGAAAATAATAAAGAATTTATATATTATAAAACTATTATTATAATATAATTTATATATAAATAATTCAAATATATATATATATATATATATATTTATATTTATTTTTTATTTATTATATTTTATATTATTTTTTTTTTAATAATAATATATAATTTTTTATTAAAGTAATAAATAATAATAATTTTAATTTATCAAATTTTAATATTTTTACTTTTATTATATTTTTATTTAAATAATAAATATTTAAATTTAATTTATTGAGTTTTTTATTAATAAAATTTATGTTTGTAAATACATAAACGCATAATTTATTTATATTATTATGTTTTTTTAAAATAATTATTATAATATTTTTATAAATTAAAAAAAA